TGCTTACTAATCAAGCTAGATTACTGTGGGCGGTAGGTATTAGGATTTTAACAAGGGCTGGCTTCCCTGCAACTAGAAAACTATCTCAAGGAGTTCCCCTGGGGTTATAAGATTTGGAAAGGCTGGTTACGTGCATAGTAATATGTATATATGTATATCTGGATCACACAGAACTTCCTACACTTCTTGTTAGGTCACCGACTTGTTAAGCTATCTGAAAATATTAGTTAGGCTGGGTTGTTGATTCATAAAGATATCATCTACAAACATGCAAGGTCTCATCAGGTTAGGGTGTGTTGGGATTGCAAGGCTTTGGCTAGAGAAACCGTGTATAGACTTTGCAGCCAATCAACTGTCCCCTGAGCAGGTTCAGCCAGCAATGTGAAGGGATCTGTGAATGATCTCTTATATTTTATCTCTGTTGCTTGAATAAATATCAAAAGCTATGTTCACGTTACTAAGAAGAGAGTTCACACCTGCCTCTCCCATCGCCCGTGTCGCAGATCTCCCTGTATTGCGGAGCTACAACCACTTGAAGAATCTTCCTATACTTCCTGCCATATCGGATTCCTCCCTTCACAACTGCGCAGGGCTGGGACCAGACCTCTCACAGACCTGGAAGTGTATTGGCTGCTGAAGATTTTTTTAGCTGCGGTAACTTTTGTGATAAAGGACAGATCGGTGGCAGGTGAGGTAAGAATGAACTCCCTTCTTTGCAGGAGGAACTTTGTTTTTCCACAATAACCCCTTAACCCTTCTCAGGGACCTAATAGGGAGACCTGGACCTCATAGAGCAGGGGTATCCAAACTCCGGCCCTCCAGCTGTGGTGGAAGTACAAATCCCATGAGGCATTGCCAGCGGTTGGCTGGCAAGTGTCTGCCCCCATTGGCACGAGACTGATACTTCGCTCTGTCCAATAGGGATCTCTGTACTTGACCTAAAGTATATCTAAAGCCAAATTTTGTTGTTCACTTGGAGTGGGAACGTATTGCTGCTCTGGTCTGGATTTCATTGTTTCCTCACTGAGAAGATGGCCTCTTCCTGTTTTGTCCTGGTGGCCAATATCTTCAGGGAGGGGAAGTGGAGGCAAATCAAAAACCTTACAGTTGTAACGAGAACAGGAAGTAAGGGGAAATCTTCTAATAGGGACTTTTGTTGTGGTGACAACTGTGTAACAAGATTTCTCCTTTTTTTTGAAAAGACTTCCTCTTCCTTCCTGTTTTGTTTCCAGGATAAGAAGCCAAGAGATATCTCCCCAATGGGACAGACTGTAAAATCTGACAGGAGTTCTAACAAGTCTCTATGGTTTTAGATATGCGTTCTGCGCTCAGGGGAAACACTCAGAACTACAAAGTGTGCCGGAGCAGAGCTGGCAATTTCAATGACGGGACAGGAAGTTAGGGAAATCTCCCCAGCAGGGACACGCATATTGGTAGAAACCCGACGGAGTATCTTAACCACCACTCTATCCAAAAACAAAAAATCAGGCTGAAGTCCAGCTTATCCCGACACTGTGGTCTAAGCACATCGAATGTTTTGGTACAGCCAAGCAAAAGGCATTTTGCTGTGTATGTATATGCCTAGTGAATGTGGTCCACTGACAGAAGCAAGTTCCTTGGTAGAATTCTCTAACCTTGAGTCATCTTCCACTCGGTGACGTCACTTCTGACCCAGGACACATTTCACAATGCAATTACTGGATATGACTCATGTGACTTCACTACCTGAATGGAAATTGCGCAATATGCGTTTAGCTACAGTAACAATCTGTCATGTATGTTCAAATCACATGTATTAATGCTCAGCGTGACTTTGTGAAATCACAAGTTACCCCTGAAGGAGGCGAGTCTGTGAATACGTTAGCCAGAGGTTATGTAATACAAGCATTGTAAGAAGTTCACTGCATACTGGGGGGGAACTTATCGTGGCAATTGCCACGATGGGGGGGGGGGTTAATCAGCTTCAGCTGCTTTGCTGTTAATGAAATGAACAACAGGTGCACTACATTGGCAACAATGAGATGACCTCCAAAATAGGAATGGTGTTACAGGTGGAGGCCACTGACGGTTTTTTTTTCCCCTACTCTTTTCTGACTGTTTTTCACTAATTTTGCATTTGGCGAGAGTCAGCGTCACTACTGGTAGCGTGAGGTGATACCTGGACCCTTTAGGCCTCATTCACACTGGAATCAGCCGGCACGTAAAGCTCCGTGCTGCGTGCAGGACCATATCGAGCAGCTTCCGGGAAGGACAGGTGCTGCGTGTGATTAGTACGCAGCCCCTGTCCTCTATGGGACTACGTGGCCGTACCCTCACCCGCCCTGCACATCAGTGCGGGGGAGCCTACTCCTACGCTGACAGTATAGATCCTATCTGCGTCCGAGCCAGGAAACACGCACCCCTACGGACCTGGACGTGAGGTGAGCATAGGGGGCGTACGGCCGCGTAATCCCATAGAGAAGGACGGGGGCTGCGTACTAATCACATGCAGCACCTGTCCTTCCGGGAGCTGCTCGATACGACCCTGCATGGAGCTGTACGTGCATCCTGTCATTGAGGTGTACAGGCGGCTGCACGTTGCTACGCGCAGCACCAGTACCTGCTGGGTTCCGGTTTCCGCATTCCAGTGTGAATGAGGCCTTAGAGGTTGCACGGGCATGCCAACTCCAGAATGGCACATCAATACGTACCCTTGCCAGAAGGTTTGCTTTGTCTCCCAGCACAGTCTCAAGAGCATGGAGGAGATTCCAGGACACAGGCAGTTACTCTAGGAGAGCTGGACAGGGCCGTAGAAGGTCCTTAACCCATCAGCAGGACCGGTATCTGCTCCTTTGTGCAAGGAGGAACAGGATGAGAACTGCCAGAGCCCTACAAAATGACCTCCAGCAGGCCACTGGTGTGAATGTCTCTGACCAAGCAATCAGAAACAGACTTCATGAGGATGGCCTGAGAGCCGACGTCCTCTAGTGGGCCCTGTGCTCACTGCCCGGCACCGTGGAGGTCGATTGGCATTTGCCATTGAACACCAGAATTGGCAGGTCCGCCACTGGCGCCCTGTACTTTTCACAGATGAGCGCAGGTTCAGCCTGAGCACATGTGACAGGCGTGAAAGGGTCTGGAGAAGCCGTGGAGAACTTTATGCTGCCTGTAACATAGTTCAGCATGACCGGTTTGGTGGTGGGTCAGTGATGGTCTGGGGAGGCATATCCATGGAGGGACGCACAGACCTCTGCAGGCTACACAATGGCACCCTGGCTGCCATTAGATATCGGGATAAAATCCGTGGACCCATTGTCAGACCCTACGCTGGTGCAGTGGGTCCTGGGTTCCTCCTGGTGCACGTCAATGCTCTGCCTCATTTGGCGAGAGTAGGCAGCCAGTTCCTTGACATTTTTCTGGACACTTGTTCTGGTGTTCTCATGCACAGGCAGGGCCTTGCTACCACGTCAGAGTTTTGGCTTTTTATCTGCAATCCTTCAATGGAGACCACTTCTGAGCAGACTTGGCTGGACTGTAGATGGATGAACCAAGCTCCCGCTGCCATGTCTGAGCTGATCGTGCCACTACACATCTTCCAATTGCAAAAGGAAGTCAAATGCAGTTGGATGATGCGGTTTTGGTCCTCGTGTTGCCCGTTTCCTGTTCCAAGAATTGAGGATAACACATTTGGGAACACCTGTCTTCCTTGAAATGTCTGCCTGTGGGAGACCTTGTTGGTGTAGTAAAACCCTGTGTGTTACTCTGCCCAGTCTTGCCATTGTGTGAGATTGTTTGTTTGCTTTGAACGGTCTTCAGTGACCTTAACTAGTTCAGTAGAGCATGACTTTTCCTCACCCAGTTTCATTTCTCCTACGCAGCTTCTTCGGTTTAATTTCATCACTTGACCATATGGCTGCTACATCCTAAACTGTGTTCAGCTGTACCTGGGAGAACTGATGCTGTTTTAGGCCTTGTTCACACCAAATGCAGATCCGCACAGGTTTCTGCGCACGCAGTGCAGTGGGTTTTGCTGCGTTTTTGATGTGTTCCGGGCCGTTTTTGGTTAAAAAAAAAAAAAATATATTTTTATTTTTTAGTTTAACATGGGCTTTCAGTGCATTCCAGGCATTTGCATGCGTTTTTGATGCGTTCCAGAGCAGGTAAAATAGGGCTTGCTGCAGTTTTTTCACCTGCTCTGGAACTGCACGCTGCGATGTGAACTGGAGCAAAAAAATACCATTGGAATACATTGGATGCAGTTTTGATCCAGTCCGCAACTGCTCTGCACCTGCTCCGCGCTTGGTGTGAACAAGGCCTTAAAGGCAACGGTGGACATGCCAAATATTGGTTTGGTTTCTTTTTAATTCACTTTGTAGGATGTTAACTGATAAATACTAATCATTGCATTATGTATGAAAGCGTTCTTAGTTAACAGCATCCCAAGTGCATAGAACTTTTGTAGTGCAGAGTATTCCAGGAGAGGAAAGTTTATATAGAGGAAGGAGCAGAGTCCTCCAGAGTATTTCAGGAGAGGAGAGGTATAGAGGAAGGAGCAGAGTCCTCCAGCAGAGCAGAGTATTTCAGGAGAGGAGAGTTATAGAGGAAGGAGCAGAGTCCTCCAGCAGAGCAGAGTATTTCAGGAGAGGAGAGTTATAGAGGAAGGAGCAGAGTCCTCAAGCAGAGCAGAGTATTTCAGGAGCGGAGACTTGGGTAGTGGAGGGGGCAGAGTCCTCCAGCAGCACAGACTGTTTCAGAAGAGTAGAGTTAAATAGAAGCTCCGTGTCCTCCAGCAGTGCAGAGTATATTGTCAGATGATGAAAGCAGTAGCACAGGGCAGTCATGTGAGTCCCCTGCCTCACGTCTTAAAGTCATATATACCTTGTTTCTTGGAAACAACAACTGATTTGTATTTCTCTTTCTTTTTCAGACATTTCTGGTCATTCAGTAGCCTGGCAGAAACGCTAAGTGACCCTCTGCTTGCTCATCCTCGTACCGTCATTGGAAATCTGCACTCTGTTTCCGCATAGAACGACCCCCTGTTCCATATGCTTCTTCCTCTGGCTCCTTCCTGTCAGCCCCGGGACATGGTCATATCTCAATCCTGAGGATGGAAGGGGGCAACAAAAACCTCATCCAAAAGTTTGTGTGCAAAAAACTTTCTCGGAAAGGCTTCCACCCCAGTTGCTGCACCGATATCCAGTCTGAGATTTACGCGAATGGCAGCACCCCAACAGACCAGGTCGGCACCCGCCTGGAAGAAAGCCCGCCGGTTCCCTTGACCGAAGAATTACTGCAAGCTCTGATGGATGCATCGGAAGAATTTGAACTAAGATATATACGTGCGTTTAATGACCTTGCTTGCCAGCTGCACATCACCCCAGACACGGCATATCAAAGCTTTGAGCAGGTGGTGCATGAACTGTTTAGGGATGGCATAAACTGGGGGCGTATTGTGGCTTTCTTCTGTTTTGGGGGGGCGCTGTGCTTTGAGAGCGCAGATAAGGAAATGGAAGAACTTCTCCCTAGGATTATTCAATGGATGGCAACATATTTGGATTCTTCTTTAGAGCCCTGGATACAACAAAACGGAGGCTGGGTAAGGATTTGCAGCTGTAAGTTGACAGGCGGTTGAGTGTTGGTGGTTGAAAAGAAGTCCTGGATGCCATACCATGAAGGACCAAATAAGAGCTTCTTACTATTCGGGTGTAGATGCACTTTAAATCGCCTTAATGTTGAGATTTCCTGTCCTGTAGGCTCAACAGGAAGTGGGAGAATATCTTTCCAATATGAGGGAAATTCCCACTTAGACACTTGTTCCTGATGGACAATTTCCCCTCTATTCCTGTTCTGATGGCAACTCAGAATTTTGCATCAGCCCCAGTGCGTTCCAGCCCGTTTGGTGCCAGAACGCACTGGATCGCATTCCGGCCGGCTCTCTTTGTTTTGGGGCGTGACGGTGCATTGATGTCAATGACACCGCAGCCTCGCCCTCCGGCCACAGTGCGGTCGCCTGCACCGGAACGCGTGGCATATCCGTGCCGGCATTCCGGTCCAGTGCGGTCCAAAAAAGTAGTGCATGCAGCGTTTTCTCTGACCGCAATGCAGACACTAAAGTGCCACGTGTTCCAGTGCGGGTAATTTGTACTGGGGCCGGAGGGCGTGGCTGTGGTGCCATTGACTTCAATGCACCGCCATGCCGCCTCCCGCACCAAAACAGAGGTAGCCAGCGGGAATGAGATCTCTCATTTGGGGCGGGGGCTGGTGTGAACTAGCCATTAGCACTCACTTTTATTCCTGGCCACATTGATGACCAAGAAAATTAGAGAGGCCGGGAATTCCCCCTTGTGCACAATAGAACAGTTTGGCATTGGAGAAACAGTTGTTGAGCATGCAGGTTATTCTCCCCCAGGTTAAATACCTTTTTTAAATCTCTTTATAAACATGTACGCTTGACTCTGTCAGGATTATATCGGTAGAGAGGGGAGGGATTTCTACGGGCAGATGTATGCATACTTGAGACTCCTGGGTTGGAAATGCAAAGGAATTGCATTGCATTGTGTGCATTGGCTGTTCAAACTCATGGCAACCTTAAAGGATAACTGCACAATCTTTATTTGGTCTCGCTTGTTACAAGGTGGGCGACAATACGTCCCAGTATAGTTTGCTGGCGATATCCGGGGTTGTGTGCATTAGCCTTAAAAGAGAAGATTTGTTGTGTTATTGGCAACACCAATGCAGTGTGAGATCATCTAAGGCACTACTGCCTCTGGATGCTGCTAGTCACCAGATTTGGAGTGAGATTTGGTGATTTGGATGCTGCTAGTCACCAGATTTGGAGTGAGATTTGGTGATTTGGATGCTGCTAGTCACCAGATTTGGAGTGAGATTTGGTGATTTGGATGCTGCTAGTCACCAGATTTGGAGTGAGATTTGGTGATGACAGTATTCTGATGCTCGCTGTTCTCCTTGCTGGAGATGAAGCTGTACCTGAGGAGCTGCAGTGCAAGGATCTCCCTGCTGGTGTTTATTAATTCTCTGCTTCCTCCACCTCTCCTGCCGCTTCTTGATCACTACCCCCACCAGTCGGCACATCACTAGGCATTGGTGGCGGCCAGCTCTGACACGAGTAGGTAAAGTCTTACTCCTCTACCAAGATGGCTGCCACCACAGAACTCTAGGCATGCTAAGGAAGTAATGGGCAAACTATCAGCAGCAGGGAGACCACAGGCATTACTAGTGACTAGTCATTTACCTTCTGCTTGTCTTTTGTGGCCAACGCTACTACGCTAGAGGTCCTCTGGAAATCCGTCAGGTCTCTGCCATTATGATTTTAGAGGGTCTTCTAGTGCATATTGTGTGCAAAATGGGATGATTTTGTCTTGCGGGAGAAGGAATAAAATCCTCCCGAGTCTGTTAACTTTAATATGTAACAATATGGTGGTGTTAGGTGACTGACTTCCAGGCTGGGGCTGTGCTATGAGTGTGAACGTCTTTGCCACCGTCATGCACCATCTCCTTGTGTACGGATCACTGATGGCAAGGGGCTGAAATGAAATTCTCCATCTGTACGGATGAAGGCGAGATGAATTACGATAACCCTTCCGATTACTGCCTCATTTACTGCAAGGTGAGATCACTCAAATGACATGAACAATGTCTGTCAGGGGAAGGAGGGGAGACCGACAATCTGATTATTTCCATCCCTCAGCTTATTCCTCCGATGACCTCCTTACCATTTAAAGGGAAAGCGTCATGTCTTTTCAATGAGCCCATTTTGAGTTGTTCTCGTCAAACGAATCTTTATTGCAATTTGCAAGTTTTTACATGGTTGGCTCTTCTGTGTTTTGTCTGTTCTGGACCCTCCTAAAAAATGCTAGTCATGCTAATTCATTGTCTTCAGGCCTTCCTTTAGCCAACTCATAGACTGGCATGGTGAGACGGAGCAGCAAAGCACAACCATTGTGTTGCCTTGCAATGCAGCAAGCTGACTCTGTGTGCATATGTCATGAACTAATATACTAATATGGATGCCCCCATGTAGATGGATAGATATACACTGAGTGGCCAGATTATTATGACCACCCCATCAGTACTTCGTTGGGCCACGAGATAACTCCACGAGTTTTTTTTATATTTTATTTGTCCTAAGTGAGGCGTTAGACGCACATATGTGATATAAATATGTAGCTCTATCTGTCCTCTAAAAAACAATATATAATATGTGTGGGTGCACTTTGTAAGAAAGTATATTACTGACGTGGAAGAATCACACAGCAAAAATGTCAAAAGTGTGTCAGTCATTTACGAACAGAAACTAAAAACAAGCTCAGTCATGAAGGGGTTAAACACTTTAACAACAGCTGCTCTTGAACATGTAACAAATTCTGCTGTTTTGCTGATACTCGCTCCATGGCTCCGAGCGCCAACAATCATCCCGCGTTCAAAGGCTGTTATATCGCGTTGTTCCCCCGTATCTTCAGAAACAAATCACTTCTACTGTCGTGGTAAACAACCCGCTTCCCTATTTATAATGGTCTGGCCCTCTAGCAACTTCAGCGACAAATTATAGCTAATTTGCCTACAAACGTCAGGCGGTCATAATAATCTGGCCACTCAGTGTATATACACCATACATAGTAATCGCAATTTGAAAGAAATAACACATGAACAGGCTGAGGTCCATCAAGCCGATCCATCATGTATGCCAAGGAAACATTTGAGTGGATTATACGTTCCCTTGACCATATTTTTCTATTGGTTGGTATCTTAGTAAGCAAGTTGTTAGTATTTCGGTGGTGTAGTTCGTGTTCCACTCTTTGTTTGAGTGTTCTACTCTTTGCGCCTGTTGCTAGGACTGAGACCTGAGTGGAATCGTATAGTCAGAGAACTATGTAAAGAAACTCCTGCGGATGTCCCTGGGATCAGCTAGGAGTGCCGTGTTCTTTTCGCCTTTCATTGTTTCACATTCGGTAATCTGTATTAGGGATGGAACATTCCAATAAAGGCAAGGGATGTATTTTTTTTTTTTTTGGGGTGGGTGAGGAGGTGCTGAAGGTTCACACAGGATTATAACTGGGCTATAAATAGACTATACAATCTTCCATTGATCATCTTCTTTTTTCCTGATTCTAGTTCTTTAGTGACAGCACTGTGCACCGTGGAGTTTTCTTTTTTATCTAAAGGTGGAATACCGATACCAGTGCTTGTGCTCGCCCAAATGCTCCGCTACCTTCCCTGATAACGGTACTTCCGGTCAGAGGAGAGCTCAGCCTGCTGTGACAGCGCTGGCCGTCTCCACCCACACACCGCTCTCTTCTGATCTGTGACAGGAGGCTGAGCGGTGTGGGAGGAGAGACACCGGCCGCTCACAGCGCTCTCTTCTGATCTGTGACAGGAGGCTGAGCGGTGTGGGAGGAGAGACACCGGCCCGCTCACGGCGCTCTCTTCTGATCTGTGACAGGAGGCTGAGCGGTGTGGGAGGAGAGACACCGGCCGCTCACAGCGCTCTCTTCTGATCTGTGACAGGAGGCTGAGCGGTGTGGGAGGAGAGACACCGGCCGCTCACGGCGCTCTCTTCTGATCTGTGACAGGAGGCTGAGCGGTGTGGGAGGAGAGACACCGGCCCGCTCACGGCGCTCTCTTCTGATCTGTGACAGGAGGCTGAGCGGTGTGGGAGGAGAGACACCGGCCGCTCACAGCGCTCTCTTCTGATCTGTGACAGGAGGCTGAGCGGTGTGGGAGGAGAGACACCGACCGCTCACGGCGCTCTCTTCCTGCAGCGCTCTGTCGCCTGTGACACTTTCTCTCCTCCCCGCTGGGACACCGCAGCGCCCAGCGGGGAGAAGAGAAATCACGGATGCGCGGCTCTATCGGCCAGAAAATGGCACTTTCAGTATTGTGCCATTTTCAGCTGATATGTTTCGGCGACCCATATATCGGTGCATCTCTAGTAATAACCCTTTGCAGCAAGAGATTTTCGTTAACAAATTTAGCCCCATATACTTTTTTGGGGGGGGGTTCGGTCACTTGACCATCAAGCCCCTATCAGTATTGTTCCTCTGCAGCCATTGGGTGGGATCTAGCAACATGCGTTTGAGGAGAAAGGGATTTATCCACTAGCTCCAAGCCCGACAACGTTTGTATGGCGACGGACATCGGAGGATGACATCACTGTTCACAGGGATAAGGAGAAGCGGATCTGAGGTCCGACAACGTATGTAATTCAGCAGTGCTGGTTTATAGTTGTCACCTCTTTATAGGAAGTGCTCTGTTCACAATATACGTGTCAGGTAAATGGTATGTGCAGAATGAACAGTTTGCAATGATATGCAATTGGTTATTGAAGGAAGATCCACTTTAAAAGGGATTTTGGAGATTAACTGCCCCCTTCCACACACCCCACGCATACCCCACCACCACCTTCCTCAATGCAGAGTGCCAAGTCTCTATAACCAGTACAGGGCTACAAACCACAACCTCCAGATTTTTATACAAATGGGTTATATAAAACTCTTAAAATGATGGATTGCTTTTTCTGTAACATCTTTCTGACCTCAATACAGAATTCCGCCCCCTTGTGGTCAAAAGCTGGTGCTGCAATAAAATAAAACACACCTCTGACCACATCCAAGATGTGCGACTGTTGTACACAAGGCGAAAATGAAATGGTAAATGTGTGCGAAGTGTCTCTGTGTGTCCTCCTGTAGGGGATACTATGGTCCCTGCGAACAATACTGGATGCCGACAGTGCAAATCTGCACGTTGGACTTTGCTGCGATCTCTAACCTTCTCTTGTTTCCCCGCAGGAAGCGTTCGTCAGTCTGTATGGAAACGACGCCGCTGCCGAGAGCAGGAAAAGCCAAGAACGCTTCGGGATGTGGCTCCTGACGGGAGTGACACTGGCAGGATTCGCCCTACTGGCCTCTTATCTCATCCGCAGATAGGACGAAGGGTCCCGACGTTCCGTGGAACAGCGGAGCAGAGGAGATGGAAGGGGAAACCAGTGACTGTGTCACACAATGAAGGCTCCACAGCCAAGGCGGAGGCCACACGCTTATCGGAAGGCTTTGCTGTCACACAGCTGGAAACACTAAAACATTGTTAACCATTTTAAACCCTTTTAGAAGTTGGCTGATCTCTGCTCCAGAAAGCAGAAATTTAAACTGTTTCAATAAATATTTTTTTTTCTTTCTGTTTCTGCCAAGCGTGCCTTTTGTCTGTTCTACAATGTAAGGGGCGCCCGACGCCATTCACAAAGAGGTTTTACTTTGTTTTATGTGTAAATGGAGGAAAAGGATTCCCTTTTAATAGCTGTGACTACAATTCCCCCCCCCCC